ATTACACTTAAACCAATTTTTTTATAAACTACGAACGGAAGCTGGTAAATTCGCAACTAAAAGTCATGGTCATCACAAAAACATTTAACACGGATCCTCCAAAAATCTCAACTTTTTTTCAATTGGGAACTTTTTTATCATTTGAGTTTTTTAATCTTAGTTGATTTGGATCCGAGCCAAACCTTGCCAATCACAATTTTTGAAGAATCTAGGATAAGACATGTATATGAAACCATTGAGTATGGTAAAGTTATATCATGAATGACGACTAGAGGCAAAGTTGGTATTTGATATCGCATCAACAACATACGAAACTTTCAAATTTTTTAAACCAATGTTTCAAATTTTTTACTGAAAGCAGGAGAAGGAAAAATTCTCCACCAGAGATAGAATAGCATAAAGAAAACAGTATAAAACGCAATCAGATTCATGCAGCAAATTCATCATATCATATCACATCCTTCATTGAAGAGAGAAAAAACATGGGCGAGAGAAACAGTGGAAGCAAAAGCAGCAGGTGGTCTTTGCAGGGCATGACAGCACTTGTCACAGGTGGATCCAAAGGAATCGGGTAAGACACACACAAACACAAACATGATTGTATCAATGAACTACAGTGATTAATAATTGCATAAAACAAGAGGGTATGTCTTGGACAAACTTTTGTTTTTGTTTCTCACCATTCATTCCTCTCATATGTATATATATAGATATTCTATCGTGGAGCAGTTGGCAGAGCTTGGGGCCACTGTACACACTTGTTCTCGGAACCAAGCTGAACTCAATGAATCTTTGAACGAATGGACCACAAAAGGATACAGAGTAACCGGTTCGGTCTGTGACGTGACCTCTCGTGTTAACAGAGAAGAGCTNGAATTCTGCTCGAGAACGAGCGTCCCCAATTTCGTGAATGAGCGTTCGGTTCAGCTCAGTATAGATAAATATTTGAAACTTTATAAATATGTGACGTTCGGCCTTAAGTCGAGCGTTCGTCCTTGATGTCATTCGACCTTGTGTCGAACGTTCATTTTACAGAGCGTTCGTTATTATATTAAACGTTCGTCCCAAATGGGCGCTCGGTCTTATACCGAAGCGTTCGTCCTAGATAGCGCTCGGTTTATACCAAGCGTTCGTTCGGATTTAAGCTCGGTCATTGACCCAGCGTTCGTTAAAGGAGGGTTCGGTTTTATAACTGAACGCTCGTCCTTATTATTGAATTCTGATGCGAACGTAACTGGCGTTCGTCCAAATTGTTATTTAACGTTCGTTCTTTGACTGGCAGTGTTGTCTTCTGAATTTAATCATATTTGGTTGTTTATCTAAATATTTTCTTACTGGTTGTATCCTTTGGATTCTACCTGGAGTCTTTATACTTAAAATCTTTCTAAGTACCATTCATATCTTCTAAGTTCAGTACCTTCAAATTATTAAGTGTCGAAACGTATTAAGTGGATAAGTGGTTCGTTCTTTTGTTCAGAAACGAGGATGTAAGAGTTCTGTAACATGATAGTCTCTATTGATTAAGTGATGAACGTTAATGAATTTAAGAGAGTGGAACACAGAATGAAAATGTGAATATGAGAACTGTTTAATATGGGCGAATGATATTGTGAACGAATTATTGGAAATGGATTTTAACGAGCGTTCCAAGGAGGAACGTCTCAGATATGATTGATTATTGAAGTTTTGTAAAGTATGACTGTGGGCATGCTAATGCTGGCATGGTCCATCCTGATATTCCGTGATACTCATCTTCACGTAGAAGGGGGTACTCATGTGTGGGAATGGCAGGAGGCTCTATTCCTTAGGGGTACTTTGGATAGAGTTAACCTCGAGTGGCAGCTGTCGAGTGCAATACAGTTACCACACCACTCGGGTGCAAGGACGCCTGTAGCTACACGGTTCATACAGTCCGGACGGTCTGTCTTTTATATATGTATCTATATGATTGTGGATTGATAAGTTTACATGTTGTTTGAGTGGATTGATTGGTAAATGTATGTGATTATTGTATAAATTAAATATTATAAGCTTACCCTTGCATTTCCATTGTGTTGTCTACTGTCCATGTACCTCCGTTTTGTCAAATGCAATGATCATCCGTTGTGGATGTGAGCAGATGATGGTACGTCTCTTGAGCAAGTGCTGGAAGAAGAAAATTTGGATGAAGCTAACCTGGTGGAGGTTGAAGTAAAGGCCGAGCCTTAGAGTGCTCGTTAGAATAGTACTGTGTGTGTTAGTATAGTATGAACGTTCGGCCAATTATTTTGTAAGGCCGTTCGTCTTAAACATCTCTGACTGTATTTTGACGTAAGTTAGTGAATTTATCTGAGAACGTTTACTTTTGGTTTCATTCGTATGCGTTATACGCGTTCCCTGTACTGATGCCGTTCGGCTTTTGATTCTGGACTAATGTAAAGACTGTTGCTGTTTATTGTTAATTGTAATTAATTCTAATTTATGGTAATTACTATATTTTGGGATGTTACATATATATATATATAGATACAGTATACATAATTATATTTAATTTCATGTATTCATAATTTTGTAGTTCCAATTTTTTTTCCTAATAATTTCATCAATTATTCACTATTTCTAAAAATTTTTAGCATGTCAATTTTATATTTTATTTTTATGTCTTCAAAATTTTGTAGCTCCAAAAAATTGTATATTTTTTTGTAATAATTTAATTAGTAATTAATTATTTCTAAATATCTTTAGCATCTCTTTTTTATATTTCATTTGATAATACTAGTTTAACTCACATTTTCCAACCTTTATAATTTACTTACTTCTTGTAATTTATAACTTAACTCACATTCAGATAGGTAGAAAATTATATCTAACTTTATGTGTTCATAATTTTGTAGTTCCTAAAATTTGTAGTTTTCTCTCTAATAATTTCATTAATTATTCATTATTTTTAAACATTTTTAACATATTTTCTAATATATATATGTGTGTGTGTGTTTTTAATTTTATCTTTTCATTTTTTAATACATTCAATTGTTTTATATAGAAATGAATATGTTTTTAGTTTCTAAAGTATTATATAAAAATGATTTTTAGTCGAAACTTGATATTTTGATGCCTTTTGGTCTTTGTATTTTTAAAAATATTGATTTTAGTCTTTATTTTTTAACTGTTGAAATCGCGTGTAGGGAAAAGGTTTTTTTGTAAGGAACATAATTGCAAACAGAGTTAGAATAGCATGCAGAGAAAGAACTTTTTGTGAAAGAAATTGTTACGTTGTTATTTTCCAAACCATATACTAAATGCAATATATTGTATTTAGCTTTGTACAGTGGATCATAGATTAAATAGATTGTATTGCAACAATTAGTGGAATTTAAAGGTATGTAATTGATAATGCAATGCACATGATCGATAAATTTTGTAGCTTTTAAAACTAAGCAATTGCTTCTTCCTTTACCTATGAAGAAAATTAATGCATTTTGAACGTCTATGAAGTTGACGCAAAAATCGACTAGAGGTTCATACAAGAAAAATCAACTTAATGGCTCAGGTTTACAACTTGAAGTACAAAAGTTGTATTTGAAGTTATATTATCACACCAAACAGCAAATTTTGGGAAGAAAAATGTGAATCAGCTTTCCTCAGCTTAAAGTCTACGTAATACCCTCAAATAAATTATTTTTTAATTAAATATATTTTTAGTTTCGAAACTTGAATATGAATTATCTCAAATTTTAATATATTTTAATTCTTAAACTTTAACCATAAATACAGATATAATTCCTTTTAATTTAATTACACTAAATTTTTTAACGTGTAAATTTGTTTGAATTTTTACACAATTTGAAATATTTTAATTTAAATGATAGTTTCAAACATGTCTAATAAACCCACCAAAAGTTAATATCATTGAATTAGAAAAATTATATTTATTTATTTTTTAAAGTCTAGAAACCATAATATAACAAAATTTGAGACAGAAACAAATTTTATTTTTACATAGTTTAAAAATTAAAAATATATTTAACATTATTTTCTACGTGAAACAAAAGACAAGCTATGTGTTTTCACACTGAAAAGTGACCATAACAACAAATAAATTGTTTTGAAATTACACTTAAACCAATTTTTTTATAAACTACGAACGGAAGCTGGTAAATTCGCAACTAAAAGTCATGGTCATCACAAAAACATTTAACACGGATCCTCCAAAAATCTCAACTTTTTTTCAATTGGGAACTTTTTTATCATTTGAGTTTTTTAATCTTAGTTGATTTGGATCCGAGCCAAACCTTGCCAATCACAATTTTTGAAGAATCTAGGATAAGACATGTATATGAAACCATTGAGTATGGTAAAGTTATATCATGAATGACGACTAGAGGCAAAGTTGGTATTTGATATCGCATCAACAACATACGAAACTTTCAAATTTTTTAAACCAATGTTTCAAATTTTTTACTGAAAGCAGGAGAAGGAAAAATTCTCCACCAGAGATAGAATAGCATAAAGAAAACAGTATAAAACGCAATCAGATTCATGCAGCAAATTCATCATATCATATCACATCCTTCATTGAAGAGAGAAAAAACATGGGCGAGAGAAACAGTGGAAGCAAAAGCAGCAGGTGGTCTTTGCAGGGCATGACAGCACTTGTCACAGGTGGATCCAAAGGAATCGGGTAAGACACACACAAACACAAACATGATTGTATCAATGAACTACAGTGATTAATAATTGCATAAAACAAGAGGGTATGTCTTGGACAAACTTTTGTTTTTGTTTCTCACCATTCATTCCTCTCATATGTATATATATAGATATTCTATCGTGGAGCAGTTGGCAGAGCTTGGGGCCACTGTACACACTTGTTCTCGGAACCAAGCTGAACTCAATGAATCTTTGAACGAATGGACCACAAAAGGATACAGAGTAACCGGTTCGGTCTGTGACGTGACCTCTCGTGTTAACAGAGAAGAGCTCATAGCTAGAGTCTCCTCTCAGTTCAATGGGAAACTCAATATCCTTGTAATGACATATTCTTTTTTCATTTTTTCATACTAAAACTTATCTAACCATGACAAGAATGAGAACCGATTTGGGATCCAACTTGTAGGACTAAAACATTCTTTTTTGTTAATATTTTTGAATGGATTTAGGTAAACAATGTGGGAACAAACGTACAGAAGCAGACCCTGGACTTTACAGCGGAAGATTTCGCATTCCTGATGAATACGAATCTTGAATCTTGTTTCCACTTAAGCCAGCTTGCACATCCTCTCCTAAAAGCTTCAGAAGCTGCAAGTATCATTTTCATATCCTCCGTTGCTGGTGTTGTAGCTACAAACTTAGCATCCATTGTATATAGTGCATCTAAAGGTGATTGTTCATTGCATTCCATGTGGCAGTGTTAGTGTTAGGTAGCTAGAGTAGTAAAAACTAACCAATTTGAAATGGTGTACGTAATTGGCATGCAGGAGCAATGAACCAAATGACAAAAAATCTAGCATGTGAATGGGCAAATGACAAGATAAGGAGTAATTGTATTGCACCTGGGGTAATCAGAACTCCTCTGGCGGAAAAGGTAACCCTTTTGTTGGCATTGTTAGTGTATGATTATTGTTGTCATTTGTTTTGTTTTTTTGTGTGGACTGAGGACATCATATTTTTGTGTTGTGTTCTTGAAGAACTTGAAAGAGGAAACAATTATAAATGCTGTAATTCCTCAAATCCCTCTGGGACGGATTGGAGAGGCAGAGGAAGTGTCTTCGTTGGTGTCATTTCTGTGCTTGCCTGCAGCCTCTTACATCACAGGCCAGATCATTTGTATTGATGGCGGCTTCTCTGTGAACGGCCTCCATGTATTCTAGCCCTTAGTTTTCACTTTTTCTGTGTTACGTCAGTTACACTCTCAGTTGCATTGCTTTCTGTTTCATGAAGAATAAATTAACAGACTGTACTTTCTTATGTTCAGTTTATTCACAATTAAATGTTGCATGATGTTTATTGTTTGGTCTTAAGATTCATGTCTCCATTCACCAAATTGTATTGAGTTCTCAAGTTATTAAATTATTATTTCTCTCTTTTAATTGTTTATTAATTACTTTGACAAGATTTTTGTAAATATATATTTTTTAATTGACAAACGTACTAAGGCTTTGGATAAATAAAACTATCATATTCTCAGGAAATTATCGGTTCAATTTTAAATTTTTATAATAATATGTATTTTTAATATGTGATTATAAACAACGTTTGTAATAATGATAAATTAAATGAATCTAAGTAATAACCATACATGATATTAAAAATAGCAATCATAGTTATTTGTGAACTCATGAAAAGCATCTTACAACCAATATTTTTACAATTATTTTAATTTTTAATCAAGTCTATAGTATAGCATGAAACATAATGTTCTAAACCATTAATTCATTATTATCTATTCTCATAAGCTTATTTACCTTCAAGGTATATTTACATAAAATATTTTTTCAAATATTTATTTTATTTGTTTTTATCCTGGATGCAGAAAGTTACGTTGAAGACTTTTCAAAGTATTCCATTTGAATTTTAAAACATTTAAAAGATATTTAAAAATATTATTTAATCAATATTTTTAAAAGTTAAATTATATCATTAGGTTTTATTTTCGAAGAAAAATCTCAAATTGTTCTAATATATTCTATGTGCTTTCAGTTTGATTTTTATTTTAAAAAATTTGATGGAATCATATTTTTTTTATTAGTAATATATTAATACAGTTAAAAAATGTTATACATTAGTTCGTAACTTTTTACTTTTTATCATTTTATTTTTCTTATTTAAAAAGTTATCACATTTCAAGCCAAAGTCATGCCACGTGATAAATGACGTTGATAGTCACAATGTCACTATCACACAAAATATTATTATTTTAGTTTCAATTTTTTTTTATTTTAATTTTTCTCAATTTAGTGCCAATACTTTCTAAAAGAAATAATATTTTTTTTCTCTAAATTGAAATAAAATTTAATTTTTGAATAAATATTAAAAAAATATTTTTTTATTAAAATTGATATTTTTATTAAATATTTTTAATAATATTAAATTTATTTATATTTATATTTTAATTAAACTTTATTTAAAATGGTTTTCAAATTTTAAACTTATTCGTTTTAAATTTTTTTGAAATTGTTTAAAATAAATTTTAGATTTTAAATTTGAATTTGTAAAATTATTAATTTTAAACTAGCTCAAACATTTATTTACTTTTAAAATCTAGAAACTAAAATATAACAAAATTTAAGATATAAACAAATTTCATTTCTCATGGTTTAAAAACTAAAAATATATTTAATACTATTTTCTTGCTCAAGCAAAGACAAGCTATGTGTTTTCACACTGAAAAGTGACCATAACAACAACAATAAATTGTTTTGAAATTACACATAAATCAATTTTTTATATGAACTACAAACGGAAGCTGGTATATTCGCATGAAGTACATAAATACTTAAAAAGTTGATGAAAAAGAAATGGGTGAGACGAACAGTGGAAGCAAAAGCAATATCAATTATTAGAAGGTAGCAATATCAATTATTAGATACCATAAATCTTCATTCATCATATCATCATATCCTTCGTCGAAGAGAAAAAGAAATGGGTGAGACGAACAGTGGAAGCAAAAGCAGCAGATGGTGTCTGCAGGGGATGACAGCTCTGGTCACCGGTGGATCCAAAGGAATCGGGTTCATATCATCTCTCCTTTTTTTCACATTTTTCATCACTTTTTGTTCCTCAATTTCAAACTTATTTCTAAAAAATACCTATTCATTTGTTAGCTATCAGTTACCAACGAAAGCTAGTGGAAAAAGTTGTTCATTTTAGTGTTTATATGTAAGAATGTTTGTACCAATAAAATATAGTAACAAGAAGGAGTATAATAAGTGGATATTGCATGAGAATTGTTTCTGCTTATTAATTTCTCTCATGTTATTATTTTGACTATCACATAGATATGCTATAGTTGAGGAGTTGGCAGAGCTTGGGGCCACAGTACACACTTGTTCTCGGAACCAAGCTGAACTCAGTGAATCCTTGAAGGAGTGGACCACAAAAGGATACAGAGTAACCGGTTCGGTCTGTGACGTGACCTCTCGTGTTAACAGAGAAGAGCTGATAGCTAGAGTCTCCTCTCAGTTCAATGGAAAACTCAATATCCTTGTAATGACATCTTCTTTTTTCACCTTTTCATCATACTAAAACTTGTCTAACTATGATAAGAATGAGAACTAATTTGGGATCCAACTTGTAGGACTAAAACATATTCTTTTTCGTTAATAGTTTTGAATGAATTGTAGGTAAACAATGTGGGAACAAACATACTGAAACAGACCCTGGATTTCACAGCGGAAGATTTCGCATTTCTGATGAATACGAATCTTGAATCTTGTTTCCACTTAAGTCAGCTTGCACATCCTCTCCTAAAAGCTTCAGAAGCTGCAAGTATCATTTTCATGTCCTCCATTGCTGGTGTTGTAGCTACAAACATAGTATCCGTTATTTATAGTGCAACAAAAGGTGATTGTTCATTGCATTCCATGTGACAGTGTTAGGTAGCTAGAGTAGTAAAAACTAGCCAATTTGAAATGGTGTACGTAATTGGCATGCAGGAGCAATGAACCAAATGACAAAAAATCTTGCATGCGAATGGGCCAAAGACAACATAAGGAGTAATTCTGTTGCACCTGGAGTAATCAGAACCCCTCTGGCGGAAAAGGTAACCCTTCTGTTGGCATTATTAGTGTATGATTATTGTTGTCATTTGTTTTGTTTTTTTGTGTGGACTGAGGACATCATATTATTGTGTTGTGTTGTTGAAGCACTTGAAAGAGGAAAGAGTTGTGAATGCTGTAATTTCTCAAACCCCTCTGGGACGGATGGGAGAGGCAGAGGAGGTGTCTTCGTTGGTGGCATTTCTGTGCTCGCCTGCAGCCTCTTATATCACTGGACAGATCATTTGTGTTGATGGCGGCTTCTCTGTGAACGGCCTCCATATATTGCAGCCTTAGTTTTCACTTTTTCCGTGTTACGTCAGTTACACCCTCACTGCATTGCTTTCTGTGTCATTTAGAATAAATTAACAGACTGTACTTTCCTAAGTTCAGTTTAGAATATATATGACAGAAGTATGATCATAAATTATAAGGCGATATAGATAAAATAAATATGTATAATGTGTCTTATTTTATAACGACTCCTTTTTAATCAAGTCTATAGTATAGCATGAAGCATCATGTTCTAAACCATTCATTCATTATTATCTATTCTTATAATCTTATTTACCTTAAAGGTATTTACATAAAATCAATTTTCCAAATATTTTTCTAAGACGTAAAACTGTAAGGAATTTTCTCGTAATTTCAAAATAAATCAATATATTAAAATATGTACCTAACAATTTAATATATTTTAAATTAATTTAATTAAAGATTATTTTCGAAATATTAAAAACAAATTAATATACTTTCCTTTTGTCTAACTTAAACTCTGATTTATAGTCATGTATAATTAATTTCTTGAGAAATCATAAGAAGTCAAACTACATTAAAGTTTAATGAATTTATGATATTTTGTTTAAATTTTTTATTTATATTCAATTTGAGGGTTTATAATCACATTTAAATTCTCTAACATTTTTTTTCAAATATAAATTTATTTATATTGATATACATTTTTTTGAAATGTATTTTGAATCACAAGTATTTTGATAGGGACATATCCAAAAGGAGGCAGGTGTGGATCTACCTTTCCTCATTTTTTTGAAAAAAATATAAACTATATATATAAAATAAAAGTTAAAACTTGTTTGAAAAGTTAAATATAAATTTTTTTCTTAAAAATTATTGTCTTTCTGACACTTCTATTTTATTTGCACGTTGCAACCTTTTATTATAATAAAACATGTTTGTTTGAATTTTCGTCATAACACTTTTAATACAAAAAATATATTGAATTCGTCTAAGTAGATTGGTAAGATGAGTTTTTGACTCTAATATTATATTAAAGAATTTAAATACAATTCTAAGTTCACATTAAATAAAAATAAAAAATTGAAAAATATATAAAGAAAATTCTCAGAGACTCGTTTTAAGATTTTGGTGTGAGATTAAATTTTAGTAGAAATAATAAAACTCGTCAACGTAACAGCATATAACAAAGAAAACTTACAAATCTATATTTTTATATGGAAATTAATATAAATTCATCATCCTAATTTTGATCAAGTTTCATTGAATCATTCTCATAAATTCTCCTAAAAGGATCTGACAATTTGAAGTGTAAATCATTATGTGATTTTGAATTTGTTACTTCATGCGAGCGTTACAAAGAAATTGTTTTTTTTTTTATATTTACTTATAGCAATCACTTTATTAGGCCAAAAATTGTTGAAGTTGGGTTTCTCGCTTGCCGAATCAAATTGCTTCACAAACAAAATGGATTGCAACCAAACAAAGTTCCATTTCGAGAGACAATAAAAAAAAGAATACGGTGACATGAGAACTAAACAAGGATCCATGTTCGATTTTGGGTTGAAATACTATAAAAGATACAAAAGACGCAAGTTTTTCTTACAAGGAAACTAGCAAAGGGAGAAGGTGCTACTACGCTACCCAAAGACACGAGAAAAACTGCAGGAAAACAAAACGAAAACTCATTTTAATTGGTTCAAATGGAACATAATCCATCAAAGACTAATTCAATCGGAGTAAAAGTAAGTTTAAACGGTTCAAAAGAGATAAAATGCACCTGAAAATGCAATGTCGCGGAGAGAAAAGGCAAGGAGAAAGACAATGAAGTGTGCATAACCGCGGGTTCGCGATTTCTGATTTAACAGGAATCAAGACGTCGGTGTCCCCAGTGTCCGACGTCTATTCTCGACTAGACGTCGAGGACCTCACTAATATGACGTCCATTCGATTTAAAAATTAATATTCGCGATGTATATAGATGTCGGATGTGGCGTGATCCGACGTCTAAATGGCGAAAAAAAATGACTTTTCACAGTCTGGCGCATATAGATGTCGGTTAGGAGGGTGCCCAACATCTAGGTTAACTTTTCACCTACCCTGTCAGTCATATAAACGTTTGTTACAGGGGACCGACATCTATAATCGCATATAGACGTCGGTGATGGCGGATCAGACGTTTATATAGCAGAAAAAAAAATGACTTTTCACCTACCTGTTAGGCATATAGACGTCGGATAGGGGGGTCCGACGTCTATAAAGTATAAACGTCGGGGCTCCTCCTAACCGACGTCTAGATGTCTAACTTATTTATGAAAATGTCGTCCATCAATAATTTAAGTTAGTTATTTTGTGATCCAACATTTACGACGTGACGTTGAAAACCAATTATGCTCTATTGCTACGAAGATAGTGAATGCTTTGTAGAATGTCTATGAAGTTGACGGTGGCTGATCATATAAGGCAAAATCGACTAGAGGTTCAGCAAAAGAAAGATCGACTTAAAACATCAACTTAATGACTCACAGGTCTACAAACTTGAAGTAGAAAAGTTGTATTTGAAGTGATATTATGCACCAAACAGCTAAAGCAAATTTTGGGAAGTGAAATGCAAATCAACTTTCCTCCAATTTCGTGCCCATTCAAACCTTAAACATCAAAAGTTTATATAATACTTTCAAATAAATTAATATTTTTAAGTTAAATATATTTTTTTGTCTCTCACAAAATTATAATTTTGTTTTTGTCTCAAATTTCAATACATTTTAATCCTTAAATTTTAAAAATAAATTGATATAATCTTTTTAATTTAATTAAATTAAATGTTTTTGACGTATAAAATACTGTGTTTGAAATTTTATATAATGTACCATATTGTAATTTAAATGTTAGTTTCAAACACATTTAACAAATTAAATTTTTTTTTATGTCATTAAGTCATGTAAGTCATGTGTTTAGGGTTTAGGGCTCTATCAATTGATTAGATTTTCTCAATCCTTTAGCTACTGAACAAAATGTATATAAACCAAACATGCAATCAGACTTTTCCTGCACAGAAATTAAGCAAGGGAGTTTGGAAAAGAATTCCTTTAGTCAGTTGGGATAAATGTCAAACTATTCTTTATCATGGCTTACGTTTAACTCTTAATTTTCTCTATGAAGATAGTGACTATAAATTAAGCCACTTAGAAGGTAACAATATCGATTATTAGATTCGATAAAGCTTCATTCATCATATCATCATACCCTTCATCGAAGAGAAAAAGAAATGGGTGAGACGAACAGTGGTAGCAAAAGCAGCAGATGGTGTCTGCAGGGGATGACAGCTCTGGTCACCGGTGGATCCAAAGGAATCGGGTTCATATCATCTCTCCTTTTTTTCACATTTTTCATCACTTTTTGTTCCTCAATTTCAAACTTATTTCTAAAAAATACCTATTCATTTGTTAGCTATCAGTTACCAACGAAAGCTAGTGGAAAAAGTTGTTCATTTTTGTGTTTATCTGTAAGAATGTTTGTACCAATAAAATATAGTAACAAGAAGAAGTATAATACGTGGATATTGCATGAGAATTGTTTCTGCTTATTGATTTCTCTCATGTTAACTATCACTTAGATATGCTATCGTGGAGGAGTTGGCAGAGCTTGGGGCCACTGTACACACTTGTTCTCGGAACGAAGCTGAACTCAATGAATCCTTAAAAGAATGGACAACAAAAGGATACAGAGTAACCGGTTCGGTCTGTGACATGACCTCTCGTGTTAACAGAGAAGAGCTTATAGCTACTGTCTCCTCTCAGTTCAATGGAAAACTCAATATCCTTGTCAGTAATTCATTCAATTCAAGTGCATGTAGTTAAAGTTATTTTTCAACCTTCTATTAAAAATTAATATTGTTAATATTTAGTTTTACACTTAAGTTACATATATTTTGTGTACATTTTCCTTTACAATCTAGTTTTTTGTAATATTGAATCAGTATACGACGATATTAGTGTTTTTATTTGTTATTTGATTTCGGGTTACATTTCATACGGATTGTAGGTAAACAATGTGGGAACAAGCATACTGAAACATACCCTGGATTTCACAGCGGAAGATTTCGCATTTCTGATGAATACGAATCTTGAATCTTGTTTCCACTTAAGTCAGCTTGCACATCCTCTCCTAAAAGCTTCAGAAGCTGCAAGTATCATTTTCATGTCCTCCATTGCTGGTGTTGTAGCTACAAACATAGTATCCGTTATTTATAGTGCAACAAAAGGTGATTGTTCATTGCATTCCATGTGACAGTGTTAGGTAGCTAGAGTAGTAAAAACTAGCCAATTTGAAATGGTGTATGTAATTGGCATGCAGGAGCAATGAACCAAATGACAAAAAATCTTGCATGCGAATGGGCCAAAGACAACATAAGGAGTAATTGTATTGCACCTTGGGTAATCAGAACCCCTCTGGCGGAAAAGGTAACCCTTTTGTTGGCATTGTTAGTGTATGATTATTGTTGTCATTTGTTTTGTTTTTTTTGTGTGGACTGAGGACATCATATTTTTGTGTTGTGTTGTTGAAGCACTTGAAAGAGGAAAGAGTTGTGAATGCTGTAATTTCTCAAACCCCTCTGGGACGGATGGGAGAGGCAGAGGAAGTGTCTTCGTTGGTGGCATTTCTGTGCTCGCCTGCAGCCTCTTATATCACTGGACAGACCATTTGTGTTGATGGCGGCTTCTCTGTGAACGGCCTCCATATATTCTAAACTTAGTTTTCACTTTCTCTGTGTTACGTCAGTTACACTATCATTGCATTGCTTTCTGTGTCATTAAGAATAAATTAACAGACTGTACTTTCCTAAGTTCAGTCTATGGGTGTGTTTGAGTTAATAATTAGTTATCAATCTCGTACTGAGTGTGGTATGTTAAATGTATTTTGGAATGCATTATGTTTATTGTTTGGTTTTATGTTCATGTCTCCATTCACCAAATTGTATTGAGTTCTCAAGTTATTAAATTACTATTTCTCTTTTTTAATTGTTTATTAATTACTTTGACTAGATTTTCGTAAATATATATTTTTTAATTGACAAACGTACTGAGGCCTTGGATAAATAAAACTATCATATTCTCAAGAAATTATTGGTTCAATTTTAAATTTTTATAATAGTATGTATTTTTAATACGTGATTATAAACAACGTTTGTAATGATAAATTAAATGAAACTAAGTAATAACCATACATGATAAAAATAGCTATCATAATTATTTGTGAACTCATGAAAAGCATCTTACAACCAATATTTTTACAATTATTTTAATTTTTAATCAAGTCTATAGTATAGCATATGAAACATCATGTTCTAAACCATTAATTCATTATTATCTATTCTCAAGCTTATTTACCTTCTAGGTATTTACATAAAATATTTTTTCAAATATTTTTCTATGATGTAAAACTGTATGGAATTCTCTCCTAATTTAATTTTCAAAACAGAATAAATCAATATATTAAAATATAATATGTTCCTAACAATTTATTATATTTTAAATTAATTCAATCAAAGATTATTTTTCTAAATATTAATAACAAATTAATATATATACTTCTTCTTAACTTAAACTCTTATTTATAGTCATGTATAATTAATTACTTGAGAAATTAAGAGGAGATTCAACAGTAATAGTGAGTCAAATTGCATAAATATTATCTCTAATTCAAAATTTAACGAAGTTATGATATTTTGTTTATATTCAATTTGAAGACATTTAATTTTTTTAATAATATATTTTTTAAAATGTGAATTTCTTTACATTAATATATATTTCTTGAAATATATTTTGAACACAAGTATCTTAATAGGTGTAACATCCCAAAATTATACAGTCATCAACTATATACTTAGAATAATTACACGTATCAATAACCCAAAACAGTCTTAAAACACAGGGATCGACAATAACGAAAGAGGATGAACGACCGCAAATGAAGAATAATTTAACGAGCGCTTACAAAAGATAAGGACGAACGGTTTACAAAACAAATACCGAACGTCCAACTATAAACAAACCATAAAAGAGCGCTCGCTCACAGCCGCTCGCTACTCTAACTACACTAACTAGAACCGAACGCTCACTGTTCGGCCTTCACTTCAACTTCTACCAGATTTTCTTCAGCAAGCAACCCTTCTTCAAGTCTTTGTTCAAGGGATGCACCACCATCTGCTCACACCCACAACGGATGATCATCGCATTTTGACAAGACGGAAAATACATGGACAGCAGACAACACAATGGAAATGCAAGGGTAAGCTTATAATATTTAATTTATACAATCAACACATACATTTACATTTCAATTCGTACAAACAACATGTGACTTATCCAATAACAAACATAAAAATACATATATATAAGACAGACCGTCCGGACTGTATGAACCGTGTAGCTACAGGCGTCCTTGCACCCGAGTGGTGTGGTAACTGGGAAACTCTCAACAGCTG